TAGAAATTCAGTGACAAAGTCTCATTCATATTTCTTCCAAACACCCAAACAAGACAAGCCCATGGGAATAATTCAAGTCTTCAATTCTTCAGTGGTTAATTCAACAGATTGCGGAAGTGTATTCAAAGTCAACCTACTATATTGAAAACAGTGCAGAGGGAATTGTTTTGTCCTCTTTACTTTTCCTATTTATAGATTGATATCATCAATCCTCAGTTGATATGGATCCCCAGCATTTCCTAATCCATTTCTAGTAGGTATGAAAATCAAGACCTCTTGTTGATGACAATCTGAAGAGGGTCCCACGGAGACCCAGTTGGAGTAATGACACCCAAACCAACATGGCTTGATGTCATCCTCCTTTATTGTCTAATTTTTTCATGTTTTATGCCTTTATCACCTTACATAATACAATAGCAAATTAACATTCATTGGTTAACGTAATAAATGTAATCATATTATGTTAACCAATGAATATTTATTTGCTATTGTCACTTATTGATTGGCTGTTATTCTACAAGCATCTGATCAGGTTATAGTACGTTAGAGCTTTCATATACTGCTCAGCACCCAGCATTGGCTATTGTGTTTGTGCAAGGCTTATTGTCTTTCCAAGGATGTCCGAAGTACTTTAAAGTAACTAAAGTAATTCTGTAATCTGCAGGCCAGGGTTGTCCAGCTCCTGCAAAGGAACAGCATCAAGGATAGCATGTCCTTGTTCCACGAGAAACTCCTCAACACGCTGTGGATCCAAGGATCCTTTGTGATCCTCCAGATCCTCATGGAACCAAGGGTGCATTGAGGCACAGCCGGGCCTTGTGGCAAGCAAAGAAACCTCTGTAAAATGCAGGGTAACTCACAGAACCAAGGAGTCCATTATTAGAGGATAAAACCTATAGAACCAAGGGTCCATGGTGACAAAGTGGGGCCTCATGGAAACAAGGGGTCACTGCGACACAGTGGGACTGCATGGGAGGAATTGTCCATTATGACAATGTGGATCCACGGAGACCGTGGTGACACGAAGGAACCTCATGGATCCAAAGGGCCATTGTGATGCTGAAGAACTTAATGGAACCCAGGGTCCATTGTGACACAGTGGGCCCACATTGGAACAGAGGAACCATTGCTGACAGTAGAGAAACTCATGGAACCAAGGGACATGGACTCATGGGACCATTGTGACACAGCAGGGCCACATGGAACCAAGGAGACCAGTGACATTTAGGAAGCTCATGGAACCAAGCGTCCATTGTGACACTGCAGAAACAAGGAGACCATGGCTGACACTATGGAAGCTCAGGGAACCAAGCAGCCATTGTGACACTGCAAGGTGTCGTTGAACCAGGGAGACCATTGTGACCCTAGAAAACCCAATGGCACTAAGGGTTAATTGTGACACAGCAGGGTCCCATGGAACCAGTTGTCCATTGTGACAATGCAGATCCGAGGAGACCATGGTGACACTACGGAAGCTCATGGAACCATGGGTCCATTGTGACAAAGCAAGGCCTCATGGAACCAAGGAGATCATTGCGACATCATGGAATCTCATGGAACCAGGGTTCCATTGTTACAGTCCAGACCCAAGGAGACCATTGTGACAACGTGGAACCTCGTGGAACCAAGGGTCAATAGTTACACTCCAGAACTAAGGAGACCATTGTGACATCATGAAATCTCGTGGAACCAAGGGTCCATTGTTACAGTCTGGAACAAAGGAGACCATTGTGATATCATGGAACCTTGTGGAACCAAGGGTCTCCATAATCAGGGACACCATTGTGACCGCACAGAACCTCACAGAACCAAGATTCCATTGCTATGCAGTGGGGCTTCATGGAACCACGGAACCACTGTGACACAGCAGGGCCGCATGGAACCAATGGTCCATAGAGATACTGCATATCCAAGGAGACCATGGTGATGCTGTGGTGTGGAAAAAATGAAAGGAGACAAGTCCATTCTATAACGTCAACAAGTCTCAGTTTATTCCAAGCACGCATGTACAGTTATACCCGTTATAATGAAACTCATGCATATTGCAAAACTTAGGCTCATCATTGGTGTATCAAAAACAGGTCAACCCCGCCTTTGAGGCTTTCTAAGCTTGCTTTGTTTTCCCTTACACTTATCTTTTTGCTGACCATTCTACTGTTTGGAACCAGCTTACCCAAGGACATAAGATATTGCTGCTACATCTGCTATTGCTGCACTACACAACTTTCAGCTACTGCTTCACTAACTGCACGTAGTCATGTCCTTTCTCACGAAGCCATTCATCCACAAAACTCCCCACACCCCGCTCCCCCACAGTCCCCCCCAGTTCCTCCCAGTCCAAACCAGTACAAAGCCGCTCTGTCCCAGTCCCGACAAGCAGCGCTTTGTGCCGGGAGCGGGCGTGGCCTCCCCGCCGCGGCCGCCCCTCCATATATGGCAACCCGCTCCTTATTGGACATGGCCCCGCCCGCAGTGGGCGGGCTCTCCTAGAGCCCCGCCCCCTCCTCGGCCAGCTCCGCCCCCGCCGCCCCCGCGCGGCGCCGCCGGAGCCGAACTCGCGGCAATTTCGGGGGAATTTTGGGGCAAATTCGGGGAATTTTCGTCACTTTCCGGGCGCGAGGACCGGGAGGGGCTCGGAGGGGCGGCGGGAAGCGGAATTTGGGATTTTTTGGGGGATTTTCGGGGCTGTTTGGGGGCGAATTTAGGGCGGGTTTGGGAATTTTGGGGTTATTTCGGGGCTTTTGTGTTTTTGGGGTCTTTTTTTGGTCTTTCATTTTTATTTTATTTTATTTTATTTTATTTTGTTTTGTTTTGTTTTGTTTTGTTTTGTTTTGTTTTGTTTTATATTCTTATTTTAAATTTTATTTTATTTTATTTTGTTTTGTTTTTCTGGGAATTTTGGGGAATTTTTTTCAATTTTCAAAGGAATTTTTTAGACTATTTTGGGGTTTTGTGGGGGATTTTTTGTGGGGGATTTTTGGAAATTAAAACAAAATTTCGGAGGATTTTGGGGGAATTTTCCG